TATTTTGATCAGTGCTACTTTAGTAAAAACTGACGGTCAAAAGCACTTTTTTAGTTTTCCATTTAAGGCTCTCAAAAGGAAGTTGATAGTGGGACCTTCTTTTTGGACTAAAAGCTCAACACTTGTAAGAGTGCAACCGCTGTACAACTTCTGTTTTTAGCAAAATATGACTCAAGCACCTTTCAGTCTTTGACCAAAAAGATAAAGCCAACCAAAGATCCTCGCAGAAGGCCTGAAAAGTACTAATTAGGTAGGGCTTTGAAAAAATGTGAAAGATAAGAGGTGAGATAATAACCAAGCAAGATACCCATTCTTCATACTACTTTTTTTCGAAATAAACCCATTCTTCATACCAATAGCAATTGTATCAGATAAAATAATTGTGTGATCAATGGCAAAGTTTGAAGAATGAACACATTGTGGAAAAGGAACTTTTCTTTTGTGGAAATACAAATAAACTGACCACAGATTACTTAACTGGGGAAAGAAATTCAAATTTTCCTCTCTTCATTAACATTAGTCACAACTAAAGGATTTTGGTGACACAAAATCAAGGTATAAAACTATTCTTATTTCAAAAGAAATGTAGAGCCTTGTTCTCAGACTCGTAGTTGAGGCCAAAAATCATAATTGAAGACAAGACAGTAAAAAGAACAGAAAAAAAAAAAAAAAAAACTGAGAGACAATGAATAACCAACACAGTGCACAATGATGAATGATCAATTGCAACATTATGTCATGTCATTCATCAATCCATGGTAAACTAATTCGCTACACCCTCTTGGTACCACGGTTAGGGACATGCATCCCAGAACACAATAGTCTGCAGTCTGGAAGGTGAAGGTATGCAATTTGAATCTCCGAAAGTGGAGATCCCATTTTTGTTTATGCAATTTAGATCTCAAAAGCTTGTGACCCAATTTCTGTTTTTCAACTTTCAGTGATTACGAGGTTTTGAATGGGCACCAGAATTAGGAAGCTGCAGACCAATGATTAGGAAGAAGGAAAACAATAGGAGACAAAATTATGATGCTCACCAGTCAGGATACAAGGATGTAACAATCTCTATTCCTTTCAGTTGTTTCCTCCACTTATCTCTAACA